TAAAAAATCTTAAAAATGCAACAGAAAGGATGATGGTGAGTTGCAGGGGAAGGGTCCACAGCCATAGATTGTAGAGCCTCGATGTAAGGCACAATCATGATCTTATTTTCTAAGTGGCTTTCATCAATAGCAGAAGGCTAGATGCGGAATCCGGAGCCATGGTTGTATCCCATTTGTCTATGACCATTTTCACTCTACGCAATTATAGTGCTGATTCCAATTTTATTGCTGTGGCAACATCCTCTAGAATCCTGAGGATTACAATTCACCAAGGGTTATTTAGGCTGCATCTGCACTGCAGAAATAATGCAATTTGACAGCCACAGCTCAATGCTATGGAGTTCTGGGAATTGTAGTTTATTGTGGAACCAAAACTTTCTGACAGGGATGGCTAAATGTTTCACAAAATTACAATTCCCAGAATTTCATGACATTGAGCTGTAGCAGTTAAAGCGATCTGAAACTGGATTACCTTATTTTCTGGTGTATAAGACTACTTTTTAACCTGCAAAATCTGGGGTTAAAGTGGGGGGGTCGTCTTATACGCCGGGTATAAGGAGGTTCATGATAGGTTTGCCTTAGTGTCATCATCAGTTGGAAATGACTTGAAGGTGCACAACAACAACAACAACAACAGTTTTGGAAGTCATACTCTTCCCAAACTCTATTTTAACTGGAAAAGTGGGGGGTCGTCTTATACGCCCAGTCGTCTTATACGCCGGAAAATACGGGTATTTCTGCGGTGTGGATGCAAATTTAAAATTCTCAGCTAGAGAGCTCTAATGCCTCATCATACTACAAGCCCCATGATTCCATAGGATGGAACTAAGGCAACTACAAATCGAATAATGTTGTTATAATTGTATAGTATGAAAGGGCTCTAGGTTAGGCATATTTTAATCAGAAAGGAGGTGAAATGAATAGATTTTCAATTGAATGTATAATTCTTTGAAAATGCTTTCTCATTTCTTCTCTTCTATTTTTCCTGTTGAATATGGAATTTGTTCATAACATAAGGTAACGCATGGTTCTGAATCTATATTCCAAATATTTTTTCCTAGTTATTGTTGTATGCCCATATTTATAAAATAAAAACCCATCTTGCTTTCATGCAATTCTTCTGTATAATTAAGTCCCGTTGAAAAAATGAAAACCTAATGGTTCTTGTCTCACGATTCTAGATTCACATCATTGATTTTGACGATGAAAATAACATTATCAACAAAAATGTTCTTCTGCATCAAGTTGGTGAAATTTGGCACATAAGTGCCAGTCCGGCTGATAAAGGGGTACTGGCAACCTGCTACAATAAAAGTAAGTGTAATTCGAAGATTTTTGTTTGCTGCTGTTCCTCCTCCTTAAGAAGTAATACTTCTTACTTCCCATAAAGTAGTTTCTTATATGGCAGTACATATATGATATCAAAATGCTTGTTTGTAAATGAACTTGTCTACTGTTTATAATCAGAATAATCCCACTGAAGAGAAGTTTAGATCGGTTTAGTTTAGTTTAATTCTAATAACTATGCTGAACATGTTTGTCACAGGCCATTCCCTCCTGTTTGTAGACATCATAGATATCCTCAAGAGAGGAGATTCTGTATAGAATTCTGTATAGAATTCTGTATAGAATTTCATTTATTCATTACTTTGCTTCCTGTTTTGATCAGTACTACTATATTTAGAACAGAGACATTTGGCTGTCACACGTCACACATGAGGAGCATTTGCACTTCTTTAATACATTTCTGGTCAAGGGCCCTGTTGGTTAGTGACCCTTGTGAGTTCTGCCTTCAATATCCTTTCCAAAGCAGTTATGTTGTGGCATAGTGGTGTGAGTGTTGGACTAGGACTCTGGAGACCGGGGTTCAATTCCCTGCTTGGCCATGAAACCCACTGGGTGACCTTTGACATGTCACATGCTCTCAGCCTAAGGGGAAGGCAATGGCAAACCTCATCTGAATGAATCTTGTCAAGAAAACCCCATGATAATTTTGCCTTAGTGTCACCATAAGTCAGAAACTACTTGAAGGCACACAACAACAAATGTGACATTGACACAATATTAGGTTGGTTAGGTTAGTTATTCACATTATGGCTGATTCTAAACTAGATTAATTTTTAGTGTCTATAACTTCTGTAGGTTGTGTCTATATATGCTATAACCATGTGTAAGTTTTTAACCTGGACCCTGAATCAGAATCAAGAAAATTGTTCAAGAATTTAAGAACAACAACATCAGCTAGTACTTCCTCAGGGAAGTGCTCTTTCATTCCTCTTGCTGTGCTAGTTTTTTAGTTACAATGAATTCTGTGTAAGGTCAAGGTTTAGAAATTTGATTCCTGATCAGACATCCAAAATGGTTAAAGCTAACTATCTCACATTTAGTGCATATGTAGCTTGACTTTATATTGTAGTCCTGTGTTAATTTACACAGAAGTAATTGAGTCCCATTATATTTAGTGGAGGTTAATTCCAAGTTAATCTATATAGTTTCAGCTATAGTTCCTGTTCCCTGCTACCACTTAAAAAACTGCTACTGAATTTGGATTTTGAATTTCTTACATTCTTTTTATGTAAGAATATCTATGGGACTGAAAAAACCCACACATTATAGTCGGCCTTCTGTTTTTGCGGGGGATCTGTTCCGTACTGCTCCGAAAACAGAGATTTGCTAATATTCAAGCCCCATAGGCTTGAATGGGTCGCGCCCCATTGATTTTAACAGAGGTCGTCCCTCTGAATATGCAAAACCACGGACTTCATGCCTACAAGAACAGAGGGGTGACTGTACTTGAGGTCCTATAATGGATGTGTAGCTATGTAACATTTCATGTCCCTACCCCCCAAACCTACCTTAACAGTCAGCAGTTGCACTGACTAATGGAAGTCTGTCCTGCTACTGATTTGGGTGTTTCCTGCTCCCTTTCACCAGAACTTCAAATTATAACAATCAGAAGCAGGACATCGTCACAATTCCTTGTCACACTGCAAATTGCTGGGAGAAGGGGGTTGGAAATGTCATTCTGCTGCACCCCAATTGGCAGAGGACCTCAATTTCATGGTGGAACTGCTGGCTGATGAGATAAATTTGGGGGAGCATTTATAATTGTGTCAGTAGCTCCACTGTTGTGAATGCATAATATTACTGAATACAGAGCAGTTACAAGTTTGTAACTATAGATTAATAATAATAATAATAATAATTTTTATTTGTATTTTCCCACCTCTCCCTACAGATCTAGGTGGGAGAAATATAGAGAAATATAGAAAAATACAATATATAAAATACAATATATACAATCA